GAAGGGGTTAAATGAGAAAGGAACAGAGCTGTGGTTGGCCAGTGAATGGTTCAATATTTGGTTTAAGCAATGTAGGATTTCTCCAACATGTAAGGGCTTTTTAAAGAAAATTTTACTGTCTATTTTTTTTTAATCACCCTACTGAAAAGCCTATGAACTTTGAGGCAGTGTGTTGCAATGCTTCAGTGCTGTGAAATATCTTAGTCTAGTGCAGATTTTCACTAGAGTGTGGCCTATAAAACTTAGTGCAAATAACTCTCATACAATGGATATTTGGACTGTATTAGCTTATTGAATATAAAAGTATGTGCAAACCTTCAAGCTGAGTCCTTCAGAGGACATGGATCTTGCATCTTCAGCGCTCACCACAAAGGTGTGGGGAGAAGGCTTTGTAAGAATGGCTTGCATTTCTGTGATATATCTGTACTGCAGACACAGGTTGATTACAGGACAGGGCTGCTTGCAGTGAAAAATGACCTGCTATATCTGGTGAAAACGCTTGTTGTGGGAAAGCAGTGTTCTGCTCTTCACCACTGAGAGCCAAAGGAAGAGTGTTTATGGTCTGAAGAGCCACCAGAAAGCATTACTTCCTGGTTGAGTGTGTGCAGGGGTGCAGGATGGACAAGGGTCAGGCAGTGCCGTGTGAGCACCATATTGTACTGCATGGCCACTTCATTTGGACACTACTGTCTGTTCCTGACAGACCCAAGCCCATGAAGCCTGGGGAACACTTTTGACTTGGTGCAGGTGAGTGGTTTTCCTGGAATCCAAGAGACCACCCTATTGCACAGGCCAGTTCACCTGCAAGTGCTTGAAAGCTGGGTTTTGAAGACACCTGACCTTTCAGCCTTCATGATTGAAAGGACTGAGACCTGAATATGCCATCCCTCCTGCCCTCCCACTACTGCAGGCCATGACATTGAACTGTTTTCAGTATGAAGCCCAGGGAGAAGTTTTCCAGTCACTGCCTAATTTCTGTAGCAGCGATGGTGTATAAGCACAAGCATTGCTTTCCAGCAGTACCTATTTTGCCAGTAAAGGTTTCCAGCAGATCACCTGCGACAAAGAGAGCATGAATGGCTCACGGAGAGGCTCTAACTTAGCTGCCCTGTAGTTCTGCCTCCAGATTTTGGAGAGCAGGAGGCGCGGGAGGTGGCTGCGTGGGAAGGAGGCCCCGCTGGCATGGCCAGCTTGGCCCATTCAGTGGCCTGAATGTGATAAATGCTGCTTTATCCCGTCTTGAAAGGAACAAGATAGCGCGGCCTAAATGCCTGGGTGTGCTTAAATAGACAGCGTGTTTGAAATCTGAGCTGCCTGGTGGGCCGGGAGCTGCTACAGGTCACCTGCCGCGCTGCATGGGGATGGGCTTGGGTCCTGCACCAAATCGTCCATGGACAAACTGGAGGACAAATTCCTCTCTATGTTGGTTGGCCTCTTTCGCTGGAGCGTGGCCTATAAGGTTTAGTAAAAACAATTCTTAAATATTATTTGAAAGGACAAATGGCCACGCTGAAAGGTCTGACAGTTTGACGCATAGCGCATGGTTTGGGGTGTGTGGAGCCAACGTTCTCTTCAGCTTGTTCGACGGTGTCCGGCTGCCATGTCGAGCAGCTGTGCTTCCAGCAAGCCGACAGGCAACGTGTCTGCCTCACTAGCCTGAGATCCTTTCAGGCTCATTTGTGTGAGAGAGCAGAAACACAGCCAGCACCTCGGCTGGGTGCACAGAGTTGGGTGATGGGGTGCTGCCTATTAACACGCCGTTTTCAGCCATCATATTGAGGCATATTACTGCGATCTTGCTGACAGCGCCTAAGGAAGAGGTGATGGGGAGCACCTCCCAGACAAAGGAGCTGGAAGGACTGAGCCCATCCGCGCCCTGATGGCGGTGGTCAGGCCTGGCTTGCGCGTTACGGCGTGCATATGTGCAGTGCAAACGTGAGCAGTGAGCCTGCTCTGCCCCCAATAGCCACGGGCCATTTTGAAGAGCCTCTGGCCCCTCAGTCACTGGCCTGCTAGTTAATTGCCACACGGACTTCGTGACACATGGGCAGATAATATGACATTTTCGGTTTCTGTCACTAGCAAACGCTACGGCGTTGCTTGCACTAGTTGCTAAGAAGCTGTCAGAAACCATTAGCAGCTGGCTAAAGTTGCCCTATGGCATTTCCTCATGGCATCAGCAAAACAAGCATAAATCACCCAGCGGAGCCTCCCGCTATACTAATGAGGCTGTAAGCTTGTTTATGGACTAGCATCATTTCTATGATTATTTCCACCTTTTCAGTTTGCCTTCATTTGGCGGCAGGAGAAGTCAACTTCAGGAACGAAGTCACTGCTGACATTTTACAAATGCGGTCCGTAGCTGCTACCGTGTGGCTGGTCAGCGCTCCTCAAGTTTGTTCAGCAAGCTTTAAAAAGAGGGGCGGGGGGCGCGGGAGGGGGAGACTATATCTCTAGAGACCTCGTGGAGGTGAGCGTCTCGAGTTGCAAAAGGAGATGGAAATGCTAAAATCCACAATCGACCCTTTAGACTTCTCCCCGCGGTTTGGTCTTTACGGGATCAATTTTCAATTTGAAAAAAGTGGAAGAGGTTAAGCAATTTATAAAAGTCTAGCGAAGAATTTGCTTTTCGGATAGCCGGGTGCTTTGTTATCCGCTCCCTCCCTTTCACTTTCTCTGGCTTGGGTCGGACGGGGCCAGGGTTTATTGTTTTAGGCTTTTCTGAACATGCACCAGTATTTACACTGGATTGAAAGCATTTGCTTCCAATGAAAATCTTGTCTTAGATTACAACCCAGCAGTGTAATTTCCCTCCCAGATGGGAGTAAAGTAGCAGTATTTGCCTAAAAACAGTAGGAAGAACAAACTGTGCATTAAGCCGAGGCTGTTTTTGGCTTGAGCTAATGATGTAACAGAAACCTTTTATTTGGGATAGGTCACTGCCAGGGATTGAAGGAGGTGATCTGGCTCGCGCTTGAAAGGTTTCTCCATTGTATCTACATAAGTCTTCACTTAAAAAATCCTGTTCCTAATGCTTCTGCTTTCATACAGCAGAAATAAACAGGAAAGGTTCTGGGGAGTGTTATAGGTGGAATGCAGAAAGCTTTTCCTCTCCTAATGGAGGATATAATTCAGGTGCCCCGGAGGCATGCTTTCAGGAATTCTCTTGCCCGAGGTAATGGGAAGCTCAGGCTGCTTTAAGGCCTTGATTATCTATTGATGCACAAAGCTGGAAAAAAGTCATCTCCCTTGGATTATAGTAGATATTTCCATAAATTATCAATGAGTCCTCCTCCCATCAGGCACGAGGCAATGCCTGCTAAATTAATCTGAAGGGGGTTTGAAATGAGGAGAGAGTGTGTTTTAAAAAAATAAGGGGGGGGGGGGAACGACACAATTGTAGGGAGGTGGTGAAAGGCAGTGTCATTAGGTTAGAAGCTTTTCATTTTTAATCAATGAATGCGTAATACTTTTCTTTTCCTTGTTTGCCTCTCTCAGACAGAAGTGGATTAGCCCGTGGAATTTTAAATGCTGTTGAGTTGTTTCCTTTGCTCATGTTTCTTTTATGAATTATTATTTTATATGGTGAATTGCTTCTTTGTATAAAAGCCCTTTTTTACATACCGAGCTTTCAAAGAATTTATCGGATATCTGATTTCTTCATAAAAGTCTTGTTTGTGTCTATAACTACTTAAGGTTACCGCCTCATTAAAGACACAGCCCAAGTCATAAGGACAGTTAGAAATTTGTCACAGTCAGGAAGATACTAAAAATATAATGCTAATAATATCTTGTTTTAACTGCTGAAAGCTATTTAACAAATCATAATTTTGACAGCCTGCGTTCTTTTTGTGTTGATGATGGGCTTTTTTTGATTGGTAACAGAATTAGTTTTGATTTAGCCCTGTTCAGATGACTTCCTCGATCATTCTTGCCCAAGAGTGTAGAAACCACTTGCTTAATAACATCACAGCTCCGCACTGATACCAATGTGATGTTTTTGGAAGCCAGGCTGTATAGTTTAGTCCACGTGCAGAGAGTGAAAAGATTGGATTTCTGTGTGGACTTATAAACTGCTTTCAGGGTTTGAAACAAAAATTGCATGCAAACTTGAGAACACTACAACTTTTGCTTTGCTCTGACTGCCAGCCCATCAGCCCAGACCAAAGCTGGCTGCTGCACAGTTACGTGCTCCTGGAGACATGTTGCTAATGTGATGAGATGTGTCTAAGACCTTCTCTGCATTGAGGAAATTCATTCTGGATCAGTTGTTTAACGGGAGCAGACACCTTGCACTGATGCGGTGCATCAACACAAAGCTGGGTGTTAATGTCAGTGTATGTCAAATTGGTACCTACTTATCCCACTGTGAATTTCTATAGACTGGGCAGAGGGGAGGCCAGTTAGCTATCCGTGTCCCATCAAAAAGGCAGGGTAAGTTGGACATCTAGAAAAGACTTAAAGTAAGTGCTGTGCCAATCTTCTGGTTGTTTATGAATTTGGGGAGAGATTTTGGTATTGCAAGAGAGATGCATTCACCCAATTTTTTCTTCCCAGAGTGAGATGTTGTACCCAGCTTCACACACGGCCTGGGGATGCGATAGCATCAATGCTTTCCTAATTGCCATCTCAGCCAAAGTAGCTGATGGGTATTAGTTTTGGGGAGTGACGCAGTGTGAAGAAAAGCCACCTTTTCAAATGGGATGCATTGGAAAAAAAATAAATGAATAAAAATTAAGCACTTTTTGTTTGGGTTACACTGATGAATCCAGTGGCAGAAATGGCCACGCTGTCCTTCAGGATAACCCAGACTGACACAGTCCTGAGACCCTCCCTCACCCCGTGTCTCTTCCCCCCCCAACCCTTCAACCCCTGGTGAATTACAATGTTAAAGAATTTATACCTCATTTAAATATTCATGCAGTTTATACCCAAAGCCAGGCTTCGGCTGAAGTATATAAAGGTAGCATAAGTCAAAATTTGATTCACTATATTTACAGGTGACGGCTTGGACAACAGTGTAGCTTCCCCCAGCACAGGTGATGATGATGATCCAGATAAGGACAAAAAGCGACATAAAAAGCGTGGCATCTTTCCCAAAGTAGCCACAAATATCATGAGGGCATGGCTGTTCCAGCATCTAACAGTAAGTGAACTCTAGATCACATATGCAAAATAAAACATGGGAAATGTCATAGTTGTAGTAGTCATAGAAAGCAAAAATACGTATTATGTTACTGACAGGCAGCTCAGGGAACTTTTCTGAGCAGAGCTGTTGCCTCATTTGCTAGCTGTCAGGGGAGGAGCATGGAGCGTATCTTTTTATGGTTTTGGGGTGTTTTTGTGTGTGTGTGTTGTTTCTAGATTTTTGGTTGGAGTTGCAGTTGTTAACAGGACGTCACCACAAAATGTGGCTGAGCTTATCCTGCCAACCTGGGAATCCTGTCCTGCCCTCTGCAGCTCCCTGTAGCTGACATGGGAATCACTGCTTTGGAGCAGAGAGCAGTTGCAAATAACTGGGGAGCTCTAAAAACAAAGCATGGGAAAACAAAGACCTTATTCACATGTTTGTCAGAAGCTTCACGATGAAAGGTCTGAATGTATCTGGTTTAATAGAAAAGTATAATTTTTTTTTGTGAGATGCTCTCATTCCCAGAGTGTAAGTTACCACTGCATTTAATATCATTGAGGGGAGGGGGGTGGATGAGCAGCTATTTCTGTTGCCACAGCTACCTGCATTTATTTCTGGGATTAGAAATGAAAAGCTCTGGACAGGTGTGCGGGGTTAAGCTGGTTGCTGGAGCTCCTTTAAAGAGTTTATGTGATATCCCACACCTTCTAACGCTAGCATTTAGCCAAGTGTTTCTAATGCCATTCTTCTTTTTCATCAAATCCTGGTGATCTGTTGCTGTGTTGTCATCCACTGTGGGGATTTAAGCCTTCAGCCCGAGATCTCCAGCCTGCTTTCTGTGCTAGTGGGGTAAGGCCCGGGCAAGGGAAGCCTGTGCCCTGCAAGCAGTGGTGACAAGCAGTGTTGGCCTCTCATCTTGGCCTCTAGGTAGGGACAGGGTGACACTAGCAGCTGCCAGCTTGTCCAGCCCCGTGGAGCCCAGCCAAGGGCATGCTCCTAAAGCTGAGGCCATGCTCCTGCAGTTTGTCCCTTCGTCCCCCGCTGCGCCAAGAAACCAGATACCTGCATGACTCTTGTCAGCACGGGGATCAGGCGGGGAATTCTGCCCTGTGCTGTCCCAGGTTGCTATGAATGAACCTTCATGCCTGAACACTCCTCTTCTGAGGCTGGGGAGAGCTTTGAATGCCCCCTGTTTAATTCCAGTCTCGATGCCAGCCATGCCACAGCTTTGCCAGCTCCCTAGCCCCATATCATTTAGTGCATTGCCCCCAGAGGCGAAGGTCCCTTTTGGTTTGTTGCAGTATCACAGTGACTTCTTGACTCTGATGAGCTGACAGGCCATTGCCTCCCAGCAGACGGATGTGAGTTATAGGGGCATCTCCATCCCGGATGGCCCAGGGTTGCCAGCAGTGCCCAAGCTGGCCTGCTACAGCTTGTTCAGGTGTAGATTGGAGAAGATGCCTTGCAAGCTCTTCAGGCCAGACAGGCTGGGTGCAGGGTGCAAGGAGCTTTTCACTCTTTTGCTGTGAAATAATGGTGTGCAAAAGAAAAGAGGAGGGTGCCTGTGGATCTTGCCTGGGCACATACTGCTGAGGTGGTTTCTTCTCCTGGAGAGCTCATGTGCAGAACCCCCAGGACTGGCACAGTGAAGCTGCTGTGTATGCTACCTTACAGCATTTAGCTAAAGCTTACTTCGAAAAATTCACCATCCCCTGTGCAAATGAAACCCAGCTAGGTGGGGCAGACAGAATTACTGCAGGACAGCTTTTCTTTCTCCTGGCAGCAATGAGGCAGTTCCAGGCTTGCCTAGTTAGCTCAGTAAAGCAAAATCAGTTTGCGTTCCAAACCTTCATCGTCTAGGATCTTGGGGCAAAACTACTGTAGGTGAGGTAATGGATAGCTTCCCCAAAAGAAAACAACGCTGGACACTCCTGTAGGCTCTTTCAAGCCCATGTTGCAGCCTGAAATGCTCTTGCTGGAGTGGGAACCTCCCCTAGAGAACTTGTGCATGGGGGAGGGCTCCAGAGGTTCTTCTGGGGGAGACAGGCAGAGCTCTGCTGCTCACCTGCCTGTAGGTGTCAATGGCAAGGGATCTCTCCCTTTTGCCCCCTGTGCTTAACCTGCCTTCGCTTTTCCGTCTGCGAAATGGCAGGGGGGAAACGGGCAGCGGTTAAAGGTGAGGTACAGCCTCCCCTTGGCCTCCGCTAATTCCTAATTGGGCTGCTATGTAGGAGCACTCCTTTTCAAAAGCAAAAGATTTTTCTCACCATTATAATATTAATACACATCAGCGGCATGGAATTAAACAAAATAGACAGTAATTGCTGTGTCTGTCATACTAATGATTAATGGTTGGAAAGATTTAAAATAAATGGAGGTCTAATACAATCCTTTAAAAGTGTATAAGTTGGTTTAATTCCTCCTATGCAGTTGTTCCATCTCAAAGACTATTAAGTCTTCCTCTATGTACTGACTTCATTTCCTAAGGTTTGTCCCTTAGTTCTCATTTTCCACTTAGGAGGAAAATCTTTTTTCTTTATTGAAGAAAACATCAAACGCGAGGCCATCGCCTTTCCTCTTGTTGAGCTGTTTGGCCAATAGCTCCCACTCAGTGTCACGCTACAGCCCCCCATTATTTTGACTGATGTGCAGAGCTGAGTTGATGTATGCCCAAAGGGTAGTCAAGCGCTGTCTTCTGTGGATGCAGGCAGTATCTCTGAAACACTTCAGGGGATAAATTCAGCCAAATTGCCTTCCTTTCTGTTCCCTGGAGAATAACAACAACAAAAATCAGCTAAAACAATACAAGGAGTGGTGGCCAGGCTTACACATAGGGTTTTGTGGTTTTTATTTTTTCATCGTTGCTTTTCCAACCGACATTTTATTAAAGTCTGTGTAGGAATAGCTGCCTAGGTTGGCCATTAGTTAGGTACAGCATTGGAATAGCTGCCTAGGTTGGCCATTAGCTAGGTA